ACATTTTTTAATTTTTTACAGAAAAAATGACATTAAAAGCCTTTATTTAAGGATCACAGTGCAGTCCCAAAACACTAAATCATTGTCATTTTAAATCTTTACTGATCTTTGCCACTATACTTCAAAACACTGAGTTTTACCCATTTGTCAGCAAGATGTTTTTAATATTTAAAATATAATAAAGTTTAGTATGATCACTTATTATTTTATATATTTTAATAAGTACAGGTCAGAGTATGTTGTTTTATTTTTACATACATATATCTCTTACACTGAATGATGATGCAACATTACAGGTGCATCTCATTAAATTAGAATGTCGTGGAAAAGTTTTTTACTGAATTACTGAATGAACTTTTCCACGACATTCTAATTTATTGAGATGCACCTGTATTTCAGCTATATTTTGACATTTTATTTTCACAAAAGTGATTTGAAACATTAAAGTAGACACTTTACATGATTGCATATTATTTACACAATAACAATTGTATATTCATAATTTATTGATTCTCCATAATTCCTCTTCTTTTATCATTTAAATTTTCCTTTCTAAAATAGCCTACTCAGAAAGTCTTCCAGTTTCGTGGACATTCACACAGAGATCAGTCAGGTGGCTACACAGCATTTGACAGCTGGATTTACAAAAATCATTTCAGGTTTAAGAAGTGTTTCAACACTGCATTAACTACTGATGAACACACAAATTTTTATTTGAATCACTCAGTTGGTTATTTTACCATGTATTACATTGGAAGGTGTTTGTCTTTCAAACACATTAAAATGCACAAATTCACCAACTTTTTTTGTCATCTGATGCTCTTTCACCTAATATATTTTTATTTGAAGTACCCCTGAGATTTTAAAATAAATATTTTAATAATGAACTATCACATTTGCAAGCTCATGGTGCTCTATGGTATTGGTTATTGTCACATGACATGCAGATAAACAAATAAAATATAAAAACATTTCAGTAAGTGTACATTTCTTTTCATTTAATATTCTTATGATTTAATTAATTATTAGCTTTTCATTAAACTCATAAACCCCCTGCAGTTCCAAACTCAGTTTGTAAAAAAAATGTAATTGTTTAAATGAATGTACAGTGAGAAATCTAGATTCTGCTACTGAAACGAGGCCTTGTGTACAGGTTGCATACAGTGAAATATTTCAAATTATTCAGTACATGAGTCGTTTTGAAAAGTCAGTTATTATGAAATCACATGCTTGAAGTGCACGCAGACAGCTGAGCTTTGCTTGAAGGTTACTCTCAAATCCAATAAAAGGACTAAATCTGCTTTCTTCATGTCACTTGAGAGATTATCTGTTATAATATTGAAAATTAGATGGTATCAAGCAGACACTATGACACAAACATGGTCGGTTGGTCACATTGTGAAACAACTTTGAAGACAACAATCTCTAGCTCTGTTTGTCCGAGCTTTCTTGCAATGACCGTGGGGTCCTAACGGCCCACTGTTACCAAGCAGTTGCTAAGGAGACAGGAATTTGAGGCAAAGAACTAGGATGAGGTGTGAGATGGAAAGAGAGATGAAGTAACAGAGAGGGAGGCAGGGTGAAAATTAATAAGTAGACTTGTATAAATTGCAGGAAGGGTATTGGAAGGTCTCGCATATGGTTTCTATTGAGACGTTTCTAATGAATAGGACCTCTCACTCATTCCTGTCTCTTAAGAACCTGTACATACAAAATCACACATATAATCACTTACACTTACACACCACTGTAGGCCTATATACATTCGCAATCATCTGCCCATAATAAACATTTTCATGCTGTTTAGATTTGGCCTTCTGTGTGAAAATCTGTCCCCTTTAGGATCCTGCTGTTTAGACTTTTCATTGCAAGTCAAAACCATTACCTGTCAAGCCTGCACATTACTTACAGTGAGGGTTAGTATTTTAGAACCAGTTCTTCTTCAGAACGGTAGTGGAACCAGTGATTTTCATGACATTAATAGTTCTTGAATGCCTATGTTCTTTTGCCAATGTGAAAAGATGGTAAAATACTCTGACAGTGTTTACTGCGCTGCTACTGAATCTGCAGCGCCACGACAAAAGAAATGATTAGTTGTGAGCTTGCAGTTTGAATTTAATATGTTGAAAGAGAAAGACTACGTGCAATGAAATGATAAAAAAGACCATATAGGCATCTTCCTTTTGCATTCTCCTCGCCGTTGTATGAAACAGCAAACACATTGAAGTCCGATTCACATTCTTTTTGAGCAACTCATTAAAAAGAACTGTTTCATAAGAGTCGTTCTTTATAATTGATTTATTACGAGCCTTTCTTATGAATCGAATAGCAGTGGTTTCCAGTGGTAGCCTATATTAATTCTTTCATTATTGCTGCATCCCCATATTTTGATACTCTTTTAATGCTCTAATGTATATAATATAAATTGTCTTTACCTGCTGTAGAGTCGTTCCGAAACGTCATGTGCAATAAAGATGTGGCTGAAAAAGGAAAGAAGACTTTTCCAAGTTGTTTCATAAAATTAATTAAACATCCACCTCACCCGGCGCTCTTTTTGCTTTCTGTCTCATAAAGTATCCTGTTTTCGATGTGAGAAACCGCTTGAATTTATTCAATGTATGAGTGGACTTTTCGAATAAATCAAACTGAATCGTGAACAATTTCAGACCTTTTTCTATAACAGTTTGACCGACTGAATCAAGAGTGATTCATATTATTCGCGAATCTGGCATCGTCCGATTCTAAACAGCTGACAGAAAATTGGTGAAATGTTGTCAGGTAAATGATTCTCAGAATGAATATCCATTGATAGACATGGAAATATCAGTGTTTTTTCACTGGGGCTCGCGTCTTTTATCTTGTAAATCGGTATTCAAGTTGTTCACGGGCGGGAACTGTTAACAGAACAGAACGTCATTCAGTTCCGGTATAATAACTTTTTAATAGTTATTAGACTTACGTCCGATCATATGACAATGTTTAGTTATATATTCGGAATGGAGTTTTTTGCAATATATGGTATTAAAAAAAATCGATTAACCTGTTAGCAATCAAGTGTTCCACCCGCGGTACACTACATACTTCGAGGGTTAACTTTGTGAAACACACACACACACACACAAAAAAAAACAGATTTCTGTTTACCTCACCCAAAAATGTGCTAGTTAAAGGGATCACCTAAAATCTATCATCACTTACCCTCCTGTTGTTACAAATCTGACGTTTTCTCTTCTGTGGAACACAACAGAATATATTTTGAAGAATGTGATTGACTTAAAAAAAGAAAGAAGAAAAAAAGCATTTCTCAAATGTTCCACAAAATGATGAGAGAATGTTCATTTTTGTACAAACTACCTCTTTAATATTCTGTCTTTTTCAATGATTGTGGATTCATACCATAAAGCAATTTACATACCATTCATACACCTCCTCATTAATGGAGAACCGCCTACATCTTTTCTCCATAAGATAATTCAAAACATCAACACGAGGCCTGAACTTCACTACCATCTACAGGTAAGCAGAAGCTTGTCAGGACCAGCCTGTTCTGGGATATCATTGTAATCAAACATAAAGGCTTTTGGCATGTTATGAAGCATGTACGGCCAGGCCTGGTTTATGGACCTTTAGCCCCAGGGCCTCAGACTGTCAGGGCCCTCCAAAGCCTCAGGCTGGAGTCTGCCAAAATAAGATGAGCAGCAGGGCTGCTGGTGCATATAACAAGCTGACAAATATGGCCCCCGGCCTCTTGGCGAATACAGCGTAAGCTGACCACTACTGCTTCTTGGCAGACCAGCATGAGCTGGTCTGTTTACTATTTTAGTCGTCTAATGTTAGCCTACCAAAATACAAATTTTTATCCGCATAACACTACAACCACCAAATCCAACAAAGCTTTTTCCTCAAACCATATAGCTGCTCAACAGCACTGACTCATCGCCTCCCCCAACCTCCCACCTGAAAAGTCTACTAGGCACTGAAAGGCATGCATATGTGTATGAAACAGTACCGTCCTCAGTGTAATAATTCTCCCTTCAACACTGCAATAATGCACTACACTGAGCACTACATTTCATATTAATGTCCCATTTATTGTTGCCCACTCCTGGTAATGTTCTTTTTATTTTTCTATTTCCATTTACTGTTTAATGTTGCCTGTCTTGTGCTAAATGTTCGCACTGGAGAAAGGACATTTTGTTTAGTCTCCAATGCAGCAGAAGAGAGCCGCAATAATAAACCTTGACTCGAGTCGGTGATCCAATTCAAAGTCTAGACCGTTTTCAATACACCTATTAAACTGATTTGTACAGACATAATTTTTCATAGGTATCCCTAACTTAATCAAAATTAGGTGCAACTACAGTCACAGTGAGACGTTTCAGAAAGCGAAAACATTTCACTTTGCAATTTCAATCTTTTCACCTGCAGTCTGTTGAAGGCCACTTGGGAGAATGGATGCTATATTTGAATGCTTCTCAGAGATGAAGATCGAGAAAGGTCATACTTTATGTGACCTTTTGGAGCGTTTTGAATTGGAACAGTTTCAAACTTTCGCCTACAGTTTAAGATACATCTATGAGAAGACTTAGGAGCATAATAGCCGTGTCTTGGCGCAAGCATTCGATGCGCAAGGCCAAACAGATGGCATGCAAACAGAATAAAGAGCCTTTTGCATGCCTGAAACTGGTTTGGATAGTTGGCTGATGGGGTGTGTGACACAGCTGCTGTTAAACTTTATTCAATTAGCTTAGAGACTGACAATAGCAACGAGTAAACAAAACGCACAAGCAAGGGCTGAGCTGCTATTTCACTTCTATCACAATTCAGATTGTGAGTCAGAGTTTGCCATTATGTTCTGGTCTACCAGTGGTTTATAACAAATCAGCTTCTGATCAGATTCCAAGGCATTCATTCAAAATGGCCTATTTACAAGTGACTTTGCTTTCAACCATCAATTCTGAAATAAATTGGTATTTACAGCACAAGGGATTCATTGTCAGTGAACAGGGGTAATTATTTATTGGTGTTTTATTGGGGGGGAACACATTTCCCAGCATCCCTATAGGCAGGAACAGTAGACATTACCAAGTGATGTTTGGTAGTGGTGCACTCATGAGATTCATAGTTCATAACAGTCACAAACAGGGAGCTGTTCATAATCCACATGTGGAAAAGGGATAAAATTATGAATACAATACCCGCAATAACATTTAGCAGAGCGCCGTCACCGCAAAAGCGACGACGGGCTACCAATGCCCATGAAAGAGTATGTGCACACAGTTACATAGAAAAATAGCACTGTCAAAAGTTTTTAAGCTCTTTAAGGTTTCAACCGTCACTTGCTTTAAGCTTCTTTTAAACAAACTGTACGTCTTTGACATGGCATCAAAAAGTAGCAAGTCAAAGGTGGTAGAAGAAGTTGTTCTGTCAAGAGAAAGGAACAGTCAGTCTACTATTTGTTTGTTTCAGGTTATATCAAATTCATACACACAAGGACTAGATTACGGCCCCCCCCCATTGCACTTGAGGCCTTGTCTCGGTGGATGGTTCCAACAGTGAATGGGCTCGACTGAGTAATTCAAGATGGTCTTGCAGTTACAAGGGAGGCAAGAGAGCAATACATTTCCTTTCGAAAAAGTATGTTGAAATGCTGAAAAGAAACGTGAGGATTATAATCATAACAACAGCAATGATAATGCAAGCAATCGTAATAATAGAGCAACAAGGTTCAAAAGGAAAAGACATTTAATTCCTATCTGAAAAGGAATAAAGTTATATATCCAGCACGGGTTTTTTTTTTTCCTTTTTTTAACAGAATCTTCTTCCAAAAAGAGTTGATAGTGCACTATTCATTTCCGTGGAATTATACAGCCACCATTAGCTGGCTTCAAAAAATTGGACAACAATCAAGCAAAAAAAGCCACAGTATCGCTGATCAGCGTGGCGTGTTTTTTTATAGTCATCCTAGACACCTGAGAAAACGGATAAGAAATCAGATCTGTCTTTTTTTTATCGGAAAGATACTACATTTATATATTCAAGTTATGCAAATTACATCTATAATCACATATTCAAGCATATACTCATGTACACACATATATCTAGTGAGAGAATAGTTTAATATTTAATATATAATATAATATTGTACTTTGTATGGTACAGTAGAATTAGGGTGCATGTTTTTTGGGGGGGATGTGGGGTTAATTTCGAGGAAATGTATAGATATACTCGTGTAGGTCTATGTATATATATATATATATATATATATATATATGTATGTATACGATCCCTCATACAATGATCAATAATCATAAGAAATCATAAGAGCAAAGGTTATAGGCAAACAGGTTATAACTGTTGGGTTATGTGCGTCTGGGTGAAGAGAC